ACTGCGCCACCGGAGAGGCCCGAACAACATATTCTAAATAGTAATGTGACAATGGTTATTTAGACAACAAATAAGGAAGGAAGGAAATGAGGGAGAAAGAAAAGAAGGAAAGAGGAAGGAGAAAATTTTCTAAATGTATCAGGGCCTTCCTCACATATAATTCCACATTAAATTTTAACATTTAACACTGGGACTAAGATTGTTAAAATCCAAAAAGAATACTCCCTCCTTTGATAATCAGCATCATTTTTTGGGAATAATTTAACAAATTATCCTAAATTGGTCTGTTAAGCTGTGACTACATAACCATAAAATCATCTTATTGTGGGGGGAAAAAGGAAAAAAAACAACACAAATAGTTTTCTCCTTGATGGGTTCCATCTTTATGAGTATGCCAAGAGTAGTGACCTGGTATTGCTACTTGTAGAATGTCAATTAAGATAGCCTGTGGAGACAATAAATTTTTTTACATTCTTTATGGTCATATCAACATGATCTAAAACTTCATTTCTTGAAGTGGACATTTCTCTATAAAAGTACCACTCTAAAATAATATTATTACTGCATATTAGATACAGGAGTATGATATGATTTTATATAATTCAAGATGAATTAACAGCCCAGGGAAATTTTCACTTCAAGCTTCCCCTGATAAGCATAGTCCAAGCCCCATAGGTATCGAGCAAATAATTTTTCATGAACTGGACATTATGATGAATTTCCTTTACCTTAGCTTTTATACCTGCATAATTATTCTACAATTTTAATACACCTGAGGTTAAAGGAGCTGTTTGTGGGATTTGAGACAAAGTTAGAGGCCATAAACTTGCAAACAATCTAACTAAATGTGCTATGCAATATTTGTAATATAAAAAGGAGAATGTAAGAAGAAAAAGACTATTTTTAAAAGGCATTGCTTCTTAAGATGAAGGGAACAATCTTGTGAAGATTAGGTTTCTAAACAGAATTAGGTTTGGGCAAAATTTTGATTAATGTGAAGATTGTATTCTTCTTTCTTTTTATTCATTCTCTGAACCTTCCTATTTTTAAAAAATATTTATTTATGCATACAAGAGCTGGGGTGTAGGCCGGAGGTTGGGGGGGCGGTGGTGGAGTGGGCGGGAAGGGGTGAGAGAATTCACCAGAGACAGAGTGGAGAGCAGAACAGGCAGCCTTACTGAAGTACACTGCTGAGGGGAGCAGCAGGTGAGACAGGAGAGGTCTGCTGAGCCATGTGGGTAGCTCCCTGGCAGGGGATCAAACTCAGGTAGCAGTGGCTGGTGATAACTTAATAATACTGAGATTTTAGCCCCTGCATCACCAGGGAGGTCCCTGAATCTTCCTATTTTATTTAATTAATCTCTCCACATCTGCCAAAGCTGACAAGTTTTTCAGACTGCCCAGAATGACACAGAACTTTTCATTTCTGGGCCTCACATAATGGACATTGCCTCAATCTCTAGGTCTTCATTCTTCTCCAATTCTAAATGTGTTTATCTGTCTCTGGAAAATGTTTAGTTTAAAAAAAATTGTTCTTTCAGGTAATTGGTCCTCAACTACAGCTAATAGTGAATATTTCAGGTGCTCTAGCAAGCTATTGGGGCTTTCCTTAAGCCTTTACTGGCTTATCATTATCATTGCTTAATTGACATATAATTCATATTTCACAAATTCTTCCTCTTAAAGAAGAAAATTCAATGGTTTTTAATATATTCACAAAGGTTTAAAACCATCACTATGACCTAGCACTAAAATTTTCATCACCCTAAGAGGAAATTCCAAATCCATTAGCATTCTCTTCCCTAACCCCCCACAATCTCATTCTTTAAAAATCACTAATTACTTTCTGTGTTAATGAATTTACTTATTCTGTACATCTCACATAAATGGAATCATATACCATAGGACCTTTTGAATCTAACTTCTTTTAATTAGTAACATCATATTTCCAAAGATTCAGCCATGTGTAGAAAAAAGAGCCATGTGTCACTTAACACCAAAAATATGATCTGAGAAATGTGTCACTAGGAATCTTCATCACGGTGTGAATATTATAGAGTTGTGTAACTACACAAACCAGGAAATCCACTGGACCCCTGGCTTACATCTTATAGCCAGTTGGGACCACCTTCATACATGTGTTGTCCCTCACTGAAATGTCATTAAACAGTTGCATGACTATATCTGCACTCCGTTCTTTTATATGATTGAATAATATCCCATTGAATCACTTTTTTTCCACTCATCAGTTTGGTTCACCATTTTGCTCATTTACATTTTATAGTTTTTATGGATAATGTTTCAGTGGACATTCATGTACAATTGTTTTCTAAAAATAGTGTTCACTTTTGGAGGGTATATACCTAGTAGTGAAATTGCAGCATAAAATATCTCTGTTTAACAGTTTAGTAACTGTCCAACTGTTTTCCAAAGATTATGATGATTCTGATTTACCCACATCCCCATCAACACTTTTTATTGTCCTGTTTAATCTTCCTTCCTTCCTTCCTTCTAGCTCTGATAGTGGTTATGAAGCAGTCTCACATTATGGTTTTGACTTGCATTAATCTGATGATCTTGAGGATCTTTTCTTATGCTTATTGAACATTTGTATATCTTATTTGTAAAAAATGCCTATTTAATTTATATTTTAATTGTTTTTATGTTTGTCATAATAATACTTCATATATTCTAGTTAATAGATTCTATCAGATATATGATTTATAAATATTTTCTCTCATTTTATAGGTTATCTTTTCACTTTCTTGATATTAGCCTTTGAAGCACAAAATACTGTAATTATGAGGAAATCCAGTTAATTTTATCTTTTGTCTCTGTGCTTGTGCTTTACCCAAATAATTATTGCCTGATCCAAATTATTGAAAATTTATCCCTAGCTTTTCTATTACAATTTTTATAATTTTGGATCTTACATTTAATTATATGATTTATTTTGAATTAATTTATGATATATTTTGAGATAAACATTCAAGCTCTTTCCTTTTTATGTTGATATTAAGTTGCCCCAACATCATTTATAATAATACTTTTCTTTCTCCAATGAATTACCTTACAACACTTGTCAAAAATTAGTTGAACATAAATGTAAAGGTTTATTTCTGAGCTTTCAACTTTATTGAACTTTATGTCTGTGCTATATTGTCTTGATTGCTATAGCTTTTTAGTATCATTTAAAATTAAGAAGTGTTAATTTTCCAACTATATAAATCTCAAACTTTTGGGAGTAAATTTATTCTTAATATTTTTCTTTTTTGATGGTATTTAAATGGAATTATTTTCTTAATTTCATTTTGCATTGTTTATTGCTACTACAAAGCAAAACAACTGATATTGTATGTGACCTTGTATCCTGTATACTTTCTGAAATTTATTAGTTCTAATTAGTTTTTACTAGCCCATGTTCAATAGTAATACTATTTTTAATATTGTATTTTGATTCAGAATATTATTGACCTGTTTTTATAATAATCAACCACTGAAATACTTAAAATAATATCATGACATACTAGATCTATATTTTCTCCACAGTTGTATTATTAAATTCTGGGAGGATACTTTATTTACCTAAGTTCTCACATCAAGTTGCCAACATGAATGTGGATCTCTTTAAGCTACATGTCCTTTAAGTAATTTCTTCATATGTATCTCAACAGTTAAGCTGAGGAAAAACCCTGGGACAGGGACATGTTGCAAGAAATTTTGCTGCTACAGTTCTCTGCTAATATGGAAATTAGATGACAAAATTTCTCTTTCAATAGTCTAATAATACAACAATGACTTAGAGTTCATAAAAAGTCACTGGGATCAAATTCCCAAATCTCCAATTCACCTCATGCTTTAAAATTTTGAGTCAGTCATTTTCTTTGGAATACCATATTTTACTTAAAGTCAGAAAAAAAATGTTGATTTAATGTGTAGAAATAAGAGTTTATAAATATAAATATATATTGGATGTTTATAAATGGTTATAAATACATATGATATAAAATTGAAATTTTCTACTGTTCTGAAAAGCCTATAACATTTTCTTGATTGAAAACATGTTGTGCTAAAAATCATTAACATTATCAGAAAGGATGAACTCAAATTTTATGTATATGAATTAGTAGACACTAATTTTCCTAGCAGAGTTTTATCCAGTCAATATTTTCATAACATTATCTTCAAGCACCAAACCCATGATTTTACTGAAGCTAGGCAATTTTCACCTTTGCTGCAAACTACAAATGTAATTTTGACTTCAATATTTGCTAATAACTATTCCCTATTTATGGATATTAGATACATGCTTAACACTAAAATTAGTTCAGCCTGAGGCATAAATGGACTACATTTGCTCCTTTTGTCTGTCATGCTAATTACTACCAATCTCTATAGGCTAGTCAACCATTCAAACTGCCATTATAATCAGACTCAATATCACACACACACACACACACACACACACACACAATCTCACAGAATCATCCCAAGAATTGCATTTTTGTTTCATATTATATTTCTAAATGATAATGCATGTAACAAAAAGCAAATACATAACATTTTATACATTCAACTCTTTATAATGCAGAGTTTTAAATTTATTCTGCATTATCCTTGAACATGAATTGGGTTATGATATTTCTAGATGCAATCTGACATTTTCTGTTCCAATAAAAAGTCTATTAATGAAGCCCAAGGTGACTGTGTATGATATGAAGTATTTGTCTAAGGATCCAATTCTGGGGTTTTATTCATTCCCATCTTAGCTCCTCCATTTTTTCATGGGTGTGTGTGTGTGTGCGTGTGTGTGTAAATCTGGGCAAATCTATCTCATTCTTTGTTACTCAAGTTTTACTTATGTAAATCGAATCAATATTTTCCATTTACATGTTATTCTTCTGAATAGATATAATGAGAATTAATGAGATTATTAGTCAGTAGACCTCCAGGCCATTGTCACTACATGGATAAAATTATTGGCTTCTAGAGGAAAAGGGATGGAAGGATTTGGGGAGAGAGAAGGAAATCTTGATGAAATCGGAGAGAGACTGGCAAGAGAGCGAGGTAATGACATCAGCATTTAAAAAGATCAAATAAAGGAAGGTAGTGACAATGGCAGAGGGAATTCCCTCTATTTCCTTTTGTTCTAACACAGTTCTGTCTTCTCTGACTCCATACCACCCCACCAGTACTACATTTTACACATTTCCTGTGTTCTTTCATTCTAATTACCAATGTCCACTTTGCCTTCCCATCATTAATCACATTAATCATAATTAATCACAGCAAGTCACAATTCTGACTTTGTGTCCAGTACAATATAGAACTTAGAAACAAATGTTGAAACATTTGTCCCTACGTCCAAGGAATAGGACACGCAGTCAGTCACTTACTAGTGCTCAAAAAAAAAAAAAAAAAAAGAAAAAGAAAAAGAAAAATGACAACATGGATTTGGAAGAAGGGAGATTTTGATAAGGCTGAAAGGTGCCACTTTGAAAAGAATTGGCTTCCTGTTCTGTAACAAATATGCTCTGAACAACATTTGTTGGCAGAGAGTAATGTATGTCAGGAAAGGCCATAATCTAATATTCATTCATCTACTTCTTTAATTGCCCAATTGCTAAGTCTTGTTTTCTATGAGGCTAGAGAAGCAGGAAGAACTTCCTATTAAGCTGAAATTGATGTTCAAAGTAAAGGTACTCAGCACTAAATCTGAATTAGTAATCAACTAATTAGATCAGTCCATATGCTTGATGCTGATGTTTTAGTTAACATTTTCTTTAATCAGCTAATGATGTAATCCACTAAGCCTGTCTTTTTTACTTAAACTTCTTAAATATGAAGTCAGCTAATCACATTTTAGCAAAATATATACCTAAGGAAGTGGAGAGAATTTTTTATATTTTTAGATCTCAGTCTAATTTCTTCAACCTAACATTTTCATTCACTGTGTTCTTATCATGATATTACATGCAATTAAAACCACTTTGCTCCCAAATACCTAAGTTCAAATGCAAATGTCATTTCTAAATAATTACAAATAATTACTGCATCATTTGGACTCGTTCATTGTGCCATCTCTCCCCCATTATCACATGGGACAAGCAACTCATTCTCAAGTGTCTGAAGAAACCACCAAAAGTCTCAGTTTCATCTGGCTTTATATGGTTTACCTGCATAGAGAGCGTATGTTGGTGGCAGATGCTGAGTTGCCTAATTCATGTCTCTGAACATACAGATACTGAAAAACTGCTGCATAACTATGCTCAGGCTGTCAGCAGTTTGCAGTGCCAGTGCCCAACAGCCATGCCAGGGTGTGCCCAGTGTTAGGCTTCTTGCCTGGATTCACCATTATATTTTTTAAGTATAACTCTGTGAAGTAATTTGATTTCTCCATTCTCTCCCTTGGCCAATCCTGCTCATTACTCCATTTAATTAACTTGCAATAAAGAGGCTTTCAGGAACTACTTGAACTTTTATAGAGACTTTCAGTTAATTCAAGTCAAGTGTTGGAGATTAAATACATTTGAAAAACAAAGAAGAAATGAAAAAAAGTGATTTAAAAGACATCTGTCTTTGTAAACATACTACCATAAAGAATTTCCATGAGGTTAAGTGCCAGGGTCCTTGTCTTATTTAATAATGAAAGGCTTCTAATCTATAGCAACACTTAACTATGAAATATGGCACTTGTTTAAGAGAACAAAAAAAAACATAACATTTGCAAGAAAAAGAGAACTTCCATTTTTTTCTGATGAAAAATGTTATTTAGTTAAATATACAGTTTACTTTCCTTTTATAATTCCCAGACCTTTCCTATCAGTTTCTTTTTTTAAATAGCAGTAATGCACTGTTGGGTATACAATAAGTTTGAAAAAAATATATGTACTCATATACAAAATTAAGGGTTTTATGTAGGGTGGTTTTGTACAAAAGTTTGTCCTCTTGTCAATATATGGAAACTTAGAATACAGTTTTCCATAGAAATAATATAAATGGTATTTAATTTTGCATGCCAGTTACTGAAGGGCTGGCTTTTTATTTTTTATTTTTTTTTTTTTAAAAGAGGTATGCGGGAGAGTTGATTGCTTTCTACTCTCAGAGGCTGCAATCTTTTTTTTTTTTTTTTTTTTTTTTTAAAGATTTATTTATTTATTTATTTATACAAGCACTGGGTACAGTCAGAAGTGCGGGAGGGTGAGAGAATTCACCAGAGCCAGAGCGGGGAGCAGAGCAGGCAGAAGGACCGAAGTACACTGCTGAGGGGAGCAGCGGGCGGCAGGAGAGGTCTGCGCGCCATGTGGGACCCTCCTCTGGTGGCCGGGGAGCAGCCGGGGATCGAACCGGCACTGCAGAGGGTGCGGGCAGCTTCGCAACCCGGCGCTCAACCGCTGCGCCACCGGGGAGGCCCAGGGCTGGCTTTTTAATATTCCACAATGACACTTACAAAAGCAAAAACACATTTCCTATGATAGCAATGGTAAGAGAAGTTACTCCCCTCTCCCAGCAGTTGCAAAATAGCTACATCACAGCTCCAGAAGGGGTTCAGAAGTAAAGAATATTCATAAGACAGAAATCTGAACTTGTGGTCTGTTCATGCAAGAAACAAATGGTGTGTTAATCTCCTTTGTAGTGTTGAACAGTAATAATAAAGTGGGCATACAAATACATGTTCACTGACATACAATAGAAAATGAACTGCAAAACAAAGGCTTTGTGCTTCTTAATTGCCCCACACACCCCAACATAGAAAGAAAATAAAAGTAAATTCATGAGCCGTTTCCTACATAAATGGAAGGTGACATACAAATCATTTAAACTTTATTTCAACCTTGTCAGCAAGATATTATGTCCGGTTAACAAATGACTAAATTGAGCACAGTCTGTCCCCAATTTTTTCTGCCTATTGGTGGAAGAACTTCAATTCAAACACTGCCTGACTCTCATACCCAAGATTGGTTTTTCTGTCTCCCTGAATGGGTGCTATCAAAGTCTGTATAACAGCTAAAAGGATCAAGGGTACGTTTTCAAACAAAAGCCAAAGAAAGCACTGTGAAAGCCTCTTCTTGTATAGATTTGTGTCTCTAGCAACAAAAAGGGAAAAAAAAACAACTTTAAATGATAATTGCATTAATTTCTCCAAGGGCAGAAACAGAATTTTTGAAACCATATAATTAAAGACATCATTATAATATCTAAACGAAGTTTCAGATCTGACCACCAGTGTAGTGCTAAAACCTATTTATTCATTATCCAAGGCAGAGGCGACCAGCCAATCAGTTTCAAAGGAATGGAGCAACTATTCAATTTAAGCATAAAATTTGTAGTTTTCAAATAGTTGTGCTGATGTGGATCCTTAAAATGAAAAAAAAAAAAAAAAACCCTTAGATTCATGTGCATTTCTCTTTTTGACAAATGATAGTTATTTAGAAACTTTAATATTTACTTATACTAAAAGAAATTATGGAAATTTCAAAGGAAAACAGATTTAATACTTGATGATATGCTACATTATAGCTGCATTTTGTGCCTTCATGCCAGATTTCTATCATGGTGATCGATATATTTTGAAATGTTTAGAAGTTCAGAGGATACATGTCTATCTGTGGAAACTACAGCTTTCCTTAAACCTTAAATTATAGTACACATCAAAATATCATTCTCATATATCAATTTCAAGCAGAAAAACTCAATGTTTTTTGCTAGCACATTAGCATTATCAGAATCTATGCTAATCTGAACTCAGAACCTTTTATCAGAATCTGAACTCAGAACTCAGTGACTTCCTTATTTCTTAAGTGTTTTATTCAGAGTTGTTAATTCTTTAGGCCCTGCTTCCTAACCTTACTGTAAAAAAAAAAAAGGGAAAAACTGAATATGAACTTACTGATTAAAGTTCCAGTATTTTAGTAAAACTATGAAAAAAAGTATATTTTTCTTCAAAAATAGTATTTTAAACAATAGCAATTTTTGAAGAATATTAATAGTAATAAATGTTTTTACATATAACCAGAGATTTGACAAATGTGCATACTTGTAGGAACTGAGAAAAGAATAAAAAAATATTTAGGAATGATCTGTACTAAAAATAATCTCCTGAAATCATTTCTGGGGTTTGCATGTTCTTTGATCTCATTCACTATGTATTTATAAATGATGATATATTAAATTGTGAGTAGGAAAGTGCTCCCTGAGAAAAAAGAAACAGCTCTTTTAAAATTTTCCATTTTCAATCTATTCTATACATTTTGTAAGTCATCATAGACGTATTGAATATATCTGCACTTTGAGATCAGACTGTCCTGGATCTGGATTCTGGTTCAAACTTTTACTGATGGGGAGCTGCCAAACAGTTTATGTAACCTATTCAAGCATTTGTTTCAAAACCACAGTCCAGCTTGGTCACTAACATGGGTACACACAGTTTACTCCAGGAAGCCCCTAATCAAACAAGGGAGCACTGCTAATTGCAAACTTCACATGCTACCAGAGGTTAGTTAGGATAATAATGAGCACCCTGCTAGGTCAAAACCAGTGTGGGAACCACCCTAGAGTGAAAAGGTTTCATCACAAGTATAGCTGAAGTTTGCCAGAAAATGCAGCACTGATAAAGGTGAGTGCTTCACTTGGAAAGCACTGATTTAAAAATCACTCTTACATGACTCCCTAAAACAGTCAATACTTTGCTCCTTTTCTTTCAGGAAACCAATGAAACAAGAGATCCCCCTTTTCCACAGTTCCCACTGGGGAGTATTTAAATAAATTATTGGTGATTGTTTGATTGATATTTGGAAGAAATGATTTACAAATATTAATTCCCTGGAACCAAAGGGAAAATTGCAGAGAAAATTATACTCTCCCAAATCAAGAACCTTGTGAGTAGACATACTATGGACACCATAATTCTCAGAGGGATTTCTATGCCTACAGGATGGTAAATGAATATTCACCAAGATGTGCACAGTACATAAAGGTGGTGATGTTGGCCTTATTAGACCATTTATTCTTCAGCATTTTGGGAAAATTATGGGGTAGAGTTTACCTACTACCCTACTCTGTTCTAT